TAATTGAGTCGTTGAGTGTTTGTATGGATAGATTATGATATTGTATGATGTTGGGGAATGTTGAATTGAATCGGATAACCATTGGTTGGTGGCCATGTGGATTTCGGCCATAGGGAGGAAAATTGGGATTGAATGTTGTGAAATTGTGTGGTTGTTATGTTGTGTTGTTAAATGGTAATTAGAAGGGTTGTGTGAAGAGTGGATGCTTTGAGAATCAAAGGAAAAATGGTTGGATTGTGTGGAAATTGAAATTGTGCCTAGAGTGGAATAAATGGCAAAAAGATGCTAGGATGGTGTAAAATGGAAAGTGACACCTAAAATGGTGTTGTAGTAACCAAAGGATGATAAAGAAAAATGAAAAGAAAATAAAGAAAAATAAATTTTTATTTTTGCCTATTATGGCCGAACCTCACATTGGTGGGGGAGGAATTTGACGTTTTGTGACTTTGGTTGATTCACTGTATATTGATGATCTGTGTATGATCAATGTAGGTTGCCTCCCGCGAATTTGAACACTGAACCGTGAGCTCGAGGGTTGCCCTTGGTCCCGGACCAAAGGGATTGGGGTAAGTACTCTGGAACCATGCTTGTAGAATTGATAACTTGCATGTGTTTGGTGAATGGAAATTAATTGGGAATGTCCTATGTGTAGGCATTCTGTTTGTGTACATAGCTCGGGAAGTATTCATTGGAGCTGTGTAGAGGAAATTATTCAGGTAATCCATTGGTACTGGGGTTTGATCCCCGTATGTGTTCCACCATGCCCGTTGAGGGTAATGGTAGGAAATGTATGTGAATAATATAGGATAACATGATCATGCATATTGTATGTGTTATGGTACATAGGATGTACCGTGTCTCTGGCCAGTAGACTGTTTGCCTTCGGGCGTTACAGACTTCCACTGGATAGGTCTCCGTGAGGGAGTTCCAGTTGACCTGGGGTCGTGGTGTGTGATCTGTAGAGGAGCACACTAGGAAGTCTCGGGTGGATATGGATGGAGGGTGCCTTGGTTGATGTTCTGGGAACACTCTGTGGTTTGAAACCCGTAGGCTATATGCCGAGGCCAATAGGCTGGACGTTGCGTGGTTTTGGCATTGACCATTCCAGCTTCGTCATATTTGTTTCCCTATGCTTCCCTACTTCACTAAATCCCTTGCTTTATCCCGTTTTCAGATGTTATGTTATATTGTTTATATGCATCGAAGTAAGCCATGGGGTGAAGTATTCTCCAGAACCTCTGGGTTGCAGAGATATATCCGTACATCTCACCCCGCTTTGGGGACTTTATTTCAGGTTGTAGCAGTGGTGTTGAGGCGGTGGACAAGAAGCCTGTAGGTTGAGCATGAGGATTTTTGCTTATTTTGCATTTTGGTGGCCATTGGGCCTAGGCTAGACTTAGGACATGAACACTATGTTTTGATGGGACCATTCATATTATCATTTTGTTCATGTCTCTTTTGGCTAAGTTTAGTGGTTGATTATTATGATTCATTTGAATGTTATGGCAATGTAAATTGTAATATGTCTATTTGAGAAGTTGTAAATTGTAATATGGAGAATTGATGTAACATTGAAGTATGTAATATGATGAAAAAAACAATAGGCCTATTCTAGGATATGAATGATGTTTTATTATTCAAAGAATGCATGCAATTGGACCTTGTGATTGAAATTAGTTAAATTGAAAAAGTAAGTATTGATTATGTATTTTGAGCAAATTGAATATAAATTGTGAAGGGTTTTAAGAGCACCAATGCATTGTTGGTCCTTGTATGCCACCCATGATTATTAGGTACAAAATTGAGGTTAGATAACGCATTTGCAAAGTTGGGATTTATTGGAAAAACAAAAAAAACTCTGGCAAAATTTCTAGAAATTGGTAGAATTTAGGTGAACTTTGAGAGAGCATATATCCCTCCACAAAGGTCTGATAGGGACATGCGATACACCGTTTTAAAGCTTGAGATATCCTCTACCTTATGTCACAATTTGGGAATTTTCTAGGTTGCACGCAACCCGGTAGAAGCCATTGAAGACGGACTGTCCAGAACGCACCTGTGCAGGGGTTGTTTCTGGCAGTTCTTGGAAATTTTATTCTCTCTTCGTTTCTTGGTCAAATTAAGTTTATGATATGTCAAAATGAATCTTGAAGTGTCTAGTTTACTGTATAAAAATTTGAGAGCAATTGGTTGAGTGGAATTTCTAGAATAATTGATGGAGTGAAGGATGTTTGGAGCCGGTTTGAGGTTGGCTGACAGATTTGTTTGTCCAACTTCAAACGGCGATATCCGGAGCAAACGAGAACTTTATGACTTGTGTGATAGCTTCCTAGAAATGTAATTAAGTCTAGAACAACATACTAAAAGATGATAGGCTTGTAGAATGCGGTTTGTCCGCAAAAATTCAAAGACCGAACCATGTTCGGATAGGTAGAAATCGTAAAAGTGAGATTTTAGCTATGATGGGAACCCCTTAGTGACTTGAGAGAAGTATTTTATGATATATAGATAGTTTAAATAATTATTCCGCAAAGAGTTTACAGTTACGGTCACAACTTTTGTTTATTACGCTTTATTATTGTTTTAAATGCTCGCGTGATAAACGGAAAAAGTTTATTTGCATTTTTATAAATGAATTGTTGTGATTGTAACTGCGCTTAATATCATAATTAATGTTAACAATACCGGTGTACAACGGGCTGTTACATGTTGCTTATGAAGTACACTGGTTTTTGCTTACTGTCTTTCTCTTCTCGAACAAGAATTGAGCTGACTGCTTCCTGTGAAATCGATAAATACAAAAACAATAGCTCACCTGGTTCTGGCTTTCTTAAGATTGGAGGTGAAGCTAGAATTTTCTTGAAATGTAGAAAAGCGGCTTCACATTCTTCTGTCCAAACAAAATTATTTCCCTTTTTCAACAATTGAAACAACGGCAAAGAGACATGTGCCGACTTTGCTAAGAATCTTGATAATGCCGTTACCCGCCCATTTAGTTTCTGGACATCCCTAATGTTTTCTGGGCTCTTCATCTCCATCATAGCTCTACATTTATCCGGGTTAGCCTCAATCCCCCTTTCAGTCAGAAGAAATCCCAAAAACTTTCCTGCCGGAACTCCGAAGGCACACTTAGTTGGGTTCAAACGCATATTATGTTTCCTGACTTGCTAAAAGACTTCTTGCAGGTCCACCAAATGTGTCATACCATCTCCTGACTTCACAATCATGTCATCCATGTAAACCTCCAACGTTTTACCCATTTGATCCTTAAATACTTTGTTCATTATCCTCATGTAAGTTGCTCCTGCATTCTTTAACCCAAATGGCATCACGTTGTAACAATACACTGCATCCTCAGTTATGAAAGCCATTTTCACTTGATCTTCCTTCCACAAGGATATATGATTGTATCCAAAATACGAATCCATAAACGACAAAACCTTGTACCCCGATGCACTATCCACTAGATGATAAATACTCGGAAGTAAAAATGGGTCTTTGGGGCAGACTTTATTCAAATCTGTATAATTAGTGCACATCCTCCATCTACCATCTGGTTTCTTAATTAATACCGGGTTGGCTAGCCATGTAACATACTCTATCTCTCTAATAAACCTGGCTTCCAACAACTCTTTGGTTTTTTCCTCAATTGCTTTCCTCTTTTCTGCGCAGAACCTCCTCTTCTTCTAAGCTACTGGCTTAGAACCTAGAACTATTGCCAATCGGTGACAAGACAAAGCCGGATCCATCCCGAGCATATCTGACGGCTTCCATGCAAACAGATCGACATTCTTTTTAACAGCTCTTTCAAACCTACTACAACCTCCGATTCTAACTCGCATCCCACCTTTGTAACTTGCTCCTGAGATGATCCTAACTGGATTTCTACCATCACTCCAGCGGGCTCCGGTCTCTCCCCATTAACTTCAACTCGGGGATCCATCCCTACTATCATTACACGGGGCTCCTCCTTCACTTCCTTCTTATCCGTCTTCCCGTCTTGTTCTATCAATTGATCGCCTTCCGGCCTTACTTCTTCTACTTTAACTTTCTCTTTCTTGTTTTCCTGGGGAATTCTTAAACTCATGTTATAACAGCTTCTAGCCACCACTTGATCTTCCCCTACTGTAGTTATATTTCCATCTTTGCCCACAAGTTTCATAGCCAACTGATCTATTGACAAAAAGATCTTAAACTTTTTCATGAATGGTCTTCCCAAGATAATGTTATACGCGAACCCCAAGTCTACGACTGCAAACGACAAAGCCACCGTTTTATGTGTAGGCTCCTTGCTTAGTGTTAATCTCAATGATATATATCCCAATGGCTTAATTTTATCTCCTATGAAGGCTAACTAATCAGCTCCACATGGCTCTAACTGATCACAATCTAAGTCCATTCTCCTGAATGCATCCCAAAATATGATGTCTACCGAGCTCCCTGGGTCTACCAACATTCTATCAACTTGATAGTTTGCTAGTAATCCTGAGATAACCAAGGGACCATCATGCTCTGGATCTAAAATCTCATCATCTAAATCCTCAAATACTATATGTTTGCCCGTCCTTGTTCTTTCTTCTTTAAAACGAGGCCTCTCGGAAATAGCCATACACATTTTCAAATGTTTTTTCCGAGCATTTCCTGATTCTCCACTTCCAGCTCGCCCTTTGGCTATAGTGCATATATGCCCAACCTGAACTTGGCCGGGTGATGTCTCTACCTCTGTCTTTTGGCCCCTATTTGTGTCTTTACCTCCTCCTCCAGGCGGGCTGCGACTTCGATCTGGTCGCTTGTATTTATCATCTCTGCACCCGTCGCATTCTCCTCTTCTCGCATACTTTTGTAACTTTCCCCTCCTTAATCAACCGTTCAATGACATTCTATAAATTAAAACAATCGTTTGTGAAATGCCCATACCCTCTATGAAACTCATACCACTTTGTTTTGTCGGCCTGCGCGCAAGTCGACCGGATAGGTGGCGGCCTGGGAACAATTCTCATTTATGTAGTCATCACCTCCTTCAATATCTGAGCTATAGAAGTGTTCAACAGCGTAAACTCCTTCTTGTATGCTTCCCGAAATCTTTCTCCGACTAGTCGAGGCCGCCTTTCTTCAAACTGACCTATCCCTGCAGGTCTATCTGGCCTCCTATTCTGCGTTGCCTCACGAAAACCTTGTTCAATCTGCTTTTGAGAGGTTTTAAATTCCTCCAAATGGATGTACTTCCGAATTCTTGCCAACAACTCTTCCTTCGTAACTGGACTCTTTTTAGCTAATGAGTTTGCCAGTCCTCCGGGTTGTAACCCAGTAGTGAATAACAACAAATATGTTTGATTCTCCAGCCCCCTGACTTGTCTAGCTTCTGCTTGAAAGCGCTCATAATATTCTCTCAACTTCTCCCTGGGCTTTTGCCTTACTCCATATAAATTGTGTGTAGTTTGAGGTTGGGGTCCACAATGAGCAAACTGTTGTGTAAACCGCAGTGACAGTTCTGCCCAACTATCAATTGAATTGTCTGGTAAGGTCGTAAACCACTCCAATGCCTGTTTTCTTAGAAAAACGAGGAATGTCCTACATAATCGAGAGTCTGACTCTGCACACAATGACATCGCTGCTCGGAATACTATTACAAACTCCTTGGGATCCGAGCTTCCATCATATGTCTTCATGTCATTTGGCTGCCTAAACCAAGTTGGGATAGGTTCTTCCCTTAACCTCCAAGACAATGGGGTTCCTGACGGCCCTTGATTAATAGGTCTTATAGGCATTCCCTGTTGAAATTGTGCTTGATGTGGTGCCCCCTAAGTTTGCCCGTTCAAGCCTGGTCCTTCTTGTCCCACATTCATCATTTGTCTCTCGTAATGTTGAGCCCTATAAGCATCTTGGTGATCTTGTCCATGATGTGGATAACCCATATTGTTTCTCGGATTGCCCGTCTGATGCTGAACTCTTTTCCCCCTTGATCCTCTCTTTTCCACTCAAAATAATACCTCGTTTCCTCTGGCGGGAATTCTCCCCTATAATGGTCGTAAAACTCATCTCTCTCCGGCCTCCTTCTTCTATGCGTTTCTTCTTGTCGCCTTTGATTTTCCCACCTTTCATCTTGGCGAGTATAATACTGGAGGCCTACTTTGTGTTGATCTACCTCCTGCTGTTCCCAACCTGCATGCCCACCTTCTCCTGCATGGTATTGCCAACTTCTTCTTGTTTCCCGAGCATGATCGACATATGCTCACTCCTCGATTCTCCGACTTATCCCCCATCCTCTGCATTGATGATTCATCCTTTCTGGAGGGCTCCTTGACTCTCATGAAAGTTGCTCTCTCCGACCCTCTGTTCTTCTGTTCTCTCCCTCTGTTGGATGATATAACGGAATATAATTAGGAAGAGGAGATAAAGAACCCCTCCTTCTATTGGTGCAAGGTTGCTCATTTTCTCCAGGTTATCTCTCTTCTGAATGATGTCTCCCTCGTCCTCCTTCTTGATATTGTCTATTCCTTATATCTTCAGCCAACTGGATCAAAGCTTGTCCAATTGTATTCAACGAACGACTCCTCCCACTCGATCGGAAAGAATCTTCCTCTCCTCCCCTGTTATCTCTGTTCTCCACCGCTCGCTCGTCACGGTTGTTGCTTGCCAAGGCACAAGAAAAAGCGTAGGAATAGTTTTACCTTTTCCCACAGACGACGCCAAATGTCTTGGACGAACATTAATTGGTATTCAGTATCTCTGGTGTGTCCTTGAGTATCCCATGCATATATATATATATATAGCCTTGATCTGACGGTTGTGATGGACATGGGTGGTTACAAATAACCCAACCTGAGATCATGGTAGGGCCCAGATGTGACAATCTATGCAGCACCGATACGACATGCGACACGTGACACGACATGACACGACACTCCGACACGTCAATCTTAAAAAAATATGAATTTTGAAATGTTGGGGCACGTTTTAATATTAAATAATATTTTTAATTTATATAGCGCATATTTCATTTAATATTCAATAATTTAACAAAAAAATGAAACTAAATTAATAATACCCATCAACACGTTATAAAAGTGGAAGCTTTAATAAAAAAAATAAGAACTGGGATGAGAGAGAGATAATATCAACTAAAGAGATCAAATCAGCTTAGAGAGAGAGAGATCAGAGAGAAGGAGATACAACAAGAGCGTAATAGGAATTGACAACAATGATGCTGAGATGATCTATTATCTATTTAAGGGAAAAAAGGCCAAAAATAAAATTGATATGATCAGGTGGAAGCTTTATTAATATATTTTAATTTTTTTAAAAAAATAATTTTTTTACGAAAATGTCATTTGACCGTGTCGGAGCTTGTCAAACACAGTCAAATTCACGTGTCGAAATGGTCAACGTGTCAGTAATGTTGACCGCGTGTCGGACACGGTGTCGGAGCGTGTCAGCGTGTCGAAGCGTGTCAGACACGAGGCTCCCTGTTTTTTGGAGTGTCCGTGCTTCCTTGGTGACACTAATACATGGGTCTCTACACGATTGAATGACTAACTCGGGTTCAGACAATAATTACTCGACAGACTTTACTTAGATGTAAGCCTTTCTTGACCTTGAGGGAGCCTAAGTCATGAATCATAAACAAAACCTATTGTCATTGACAACGAATTTATCATCATCATATTTTAACAAATTTTTTGAAACCCATGACATAATGGTAAATAATATGTCAAATGGTCTAAAAAAAAAAAATGTCAAATTGTGCACAATAATCGATGTCACCCATTGTGCATGCATTTATGATGTAACATCAGGATAGCGATACATGCATGCTGAATCTCAAGTACGGCGTGTCGAATATCGATGGCTCTATGACTCTATCCACCGAAATACGAAATCACAGCAAAAGTTTTATTGAATACAACATTATCTTTATCTAATCATAGTAAATCAGTGAGGTCGACTGTTGATTAACCCCAAAAAAAATAATAAAACAAAAGAAAAATAAATAAATCAATATAAAAACGAAAAACAGCTAAAAAGGACATAGGAAACATAAAAAATAACGAGTTTATCCCTCCAACATACAGGTAAGGGACAAAAATAAATAAGTACCCTTCTTTAGCTGTGTTGTCTGCGCTCTGTAGCTAGTACCGCCATGGCAAGAGATGAAGAAAACCCTCTTCATATAGTGATGTTCCCATGGCTGGCTTTTGGACACATGATTCCAAACCTTGAGCTAGCCAAACTCATTGCTCAAAAGGGTCATCAAATCAGCTTCGTATCCACCCCAAGAAACATAGATCGCCTTCCCAAACTGCCACCAAACTTTTCTACTCTCATCAATTACGTGAACCTTCCATTACCCAAAGCGGATAACCTCCCAGAAAACGCAGAGGCCACCACCGATGTCCCCTACGACGCCGTAAAATACCTTAAAAAAGCCTATGACTCCCTCCAAGAACCCTTGACCCATTTTCTCGCATCTTCCAATGCTGATTGGATCTTCTACGACTTTGTTCCCTTCTGGGTGGGTTGTGTGGCTTCCAAACTCGGTATTAAGAGCGCCTTTTACAGCATTTGTACTGCTCCGTTTATTGGCTTCTTGGGACCCGCTTCGGCTCTCATGGGTAATGACCCGATCCGGACAAAACCCGAAAACTTCACCGTTCCTCCACCGTGGGTCCCTTTTCCAACCACCGTTGCATTCCGTTACTTTGAAATCATGAGGATCTCAGACAGTCTCTCCGACAACGACTCGAGCGTTTCGGACGCGTACAGGATCGGTGCGAGTATCCAAAACTGCGATCTCGTAGCAGTTCGAGGCTGCACCGACTTCGAACCGGAGTGGTTTCAAGTGCTGGAGAATATCTACCGGAAACCGGTTCTCCCGGTTGGACAACTCCCCACTACAAGTTTTGACACAGGCGAGGAAGATGACACGTGGCAGTGGATGAAGGATTGGTTAGACAAGCAAGCACGTGGCTCGGTGGTGTACGTGGCGTTTGGAAGCGAGGCAAAACCGAGTCAAGAGGAAGTCACAGAGATAGCTCTAGGGTTGGAGAAATCGAAGCTTCCGTTTTTGTGGGTGCTGAGGGTTCAGCGTGGGCCCTCCGACACGGTGGTGCTGCGGTTGCCGAAAGGGTTCGAGGAGCGAACCATAAGGCGCGGTGTAGTGTACACCACTTGGGCACCGCAGCTGAAGATATTGAGCCATGAGGGTGTTGGTGGGTTCTTGACTCACTCTGGTTGGACCTCTGTTGTTGAGGCCGTTAAGAACGATAAGCCGTTGATTCTGTTGACGTTTTTGTCGGACCAAGGAATAAATGCTAGGGTGTTGGAGGAGAAGAAGATGGGGTACTCAGTGCCAAGGGACGAACGAGATGGATCTTTCACGAGTGACTCGGTCGCTGACTCAGTGAGGTTGGTTATGGTTGAAGAAGAAGGAAGGATTTACAGGGAAAAGATCAAAGAGATGAAGGACTTGTTTGTCAATCCAGAAAGACAAGATAGGTACATCGAGAACCTGCTACGCTGCCTTAGAAGCCTATTGAAATAATTAATTCTGACGCTGTGTTTGTAATATTACATTTTTCTCCTTTACTGATCTGTGTTGTTAATCATAAATCTTTTCACGAGGCATTTTAATAACTGTTAGGTATGGACATCAATTGTAGGTTCTGATTTAAGTGTATCTGTTTAGTACGTGTGAATGAATCTGAATTTCTCTCTTTTAACACTATCCTTATATTTATAATGATTCTCATACATGGTTAGTGATGAAGTTTGTGGCGAGGAACCATTTTTCTATTGACAATAGTGGTAGTTATATAAATTGTGATAGTCATTATAAAGCGGGAAAGGATCGTGGGTTTGATTCTACGATTTGAGCTCTTATTATATAGTCTAATATCCCGGGCTTACGACCTAAGAAGGTAAACAGGTAGGTTAATTTAGGTACAATGGGCCCACCATCGGGCTATAACCGAATGGCCCTAGTCGGGTTAACTAACCCGGAACATTAAGTCCTCCAATTCAAAGTATTACAAAATGTGTATTCCGATATGCTAATTTGATGGGTTGTCTTTACCCTAAAAGTCGGATCTATAAGAGGTCATTTCACCATAAATGTAGATTGTCCTGCTGCGCTACGCGTCGTCCTTTGATAAGTCAGGAGCCTTTCACATGGGGCGAGGCGAAATAATACAACTTTTCGAAATTTTAAACACCAATAATACATCATCTTTGCTTTTCACTATATGTCTTCATTTCTGTTATTTTTCTTTCTTATTGTCTTTCTGCCTTATTTATCTCTTCATTTCTCTTCATTTCTTCTTTACATTGCCTCTGGTTCTTTTCTTTCAATCGTTCTCTTCACCGTCGATCTCTTCATTTGCAAGTTACCTTCAGTTCATGTTCTTCTTACCACGCTTATAAGTACTTCTTCTCTTTTTCTCCATTCATTTTTTTGTTTCGAATCTTTATTTCTCCTGGTTGTATCTTTTGTGGTTAGAATAATCTTTAGGATAATCTAATGAACAATCATAATAGAATGAGAGGTATTTTCTATGAGAATGATCCAGCTGCCCTTCAATTGACATTGGGTTCTTTACTCCTCCTGGGAGATCTGGCAAACCCTTCTTTATGGGTTGAAGCCCCAGGGAGAATGAAAGGATCTGCTCACCTTTTGGACAAGGTGATGGAGCTTTTTTCTTTCTTTACAAGTGTTTATTCTCAAAATTGGGACCCTTTTCCAAGTTCCAGATGAGGTTCTCCATTATCTTGATATCACACCTTCTCAACTCCATCCCAACGGGTGGTGTTTCGTTCAAGTCTTTGAACTGATTTGCCGAGCTTACGAGTTCGCATATTCTTGTCGAGTCTTTTTCTGTCTCTTTGCGGTATTTCGCAACGTCATTGAGAAGGGAAGCAGCCATTTCAGTTGGGTTTCATTAAAAGCCCGCCTTGGTTTGTGGTGGTGCACTATGGTTTGTGGTGGTGCACTATCTTCTAGGACAACTGGAAAAATGTCATAGAAGATTAATTCAAGAATAGGGGAATTGACTGTGCAATCATAGGCAAAGATTTTGAGCCTATACAGAAAGTTTTTATTGAGTGTGCATTCCATTGTATGAAAGACTCTAGAACTTGCTTTGTTTCTTGCTTGAATTGGTATGTGATATATTCTATGGAAATGATTGAGACATGTTCTTTCTTTAAACTAGATGGCCAAATAGCCAACCATTGCTGACATTCCTTAGTTAAACCCTTTTGAGCCTAGGCTTGTTTATTCTTTGGAAACCTATGAAGATGAATAAGCCACTTGCTATACAATCTTCACCTTATTTTAGATTAAATTTCAGATTTGAATTGAGGAACACGTGTTAATTGTCGATTATATAAATTGTGATGTATGGGAGTACAGGGAAGAAAGACAAAAGCCAAGGAAGTAAAGTTGGTTAGAAGGAAAAGGAAACAAGAAAAAAAAAAGAGAACGACAATTAAGAGAAAAGTTCAAGGGAAAAAGGAAGAAGAACAAACTCCAAGAAAAATAAAGTTGTTTACGAACTGTAAACAATTACATTCATTCCTCTTTGAATCTGGATTTTAATCTTGGAGCCCTTTCTCCAATTTTTCCTCCCCTTCAGCCAGGCCAAGTTACAACCTGAATAAAGACCTCTTGATCTGTTGAATATTTCACCATGACTGTGGAGAGCAAGAATATGAGCAAGCCTATGGTAGTTTGATTCGGTGGGATACGAGTGAAACATCAAACCTTTAAACAGTTGAGCGTGAGTGAATTGAATTTCCAATGAGGGGGTGCTTCAGGAATTCTCCCTTGTTCTTGATCTTGAGAATTTCTTTTCTGATGAATTATTAATTTAGTTGATTGATGCATTAATCTTTAGAGTCTGAATGCTCTGTAATCATGTATTTGTTGAATCCTTCCTATCAAATTCCATGCTACGCTTAATTAAAATATGGAATAAAATTTTTCTTTTCAATTATGACGTCATTAATATTTACCAAGTTGATTACTTAATCCTTTTTCAAAATATTGCCTGTATGTAAATTGCAATAAAAGCTAAATATACTGAATAACCTCATAATATAAATAAGTGATTATCTAAGTCACGAAACTACAACACGTAGTCCGGACCATATCCTGATATATTATACAACTCGAATAAACTCAAACATAGCAGAAAGTCAATGTGGCATGGACAACCCTTATGCTCACCAAATAAGGCAACAAAGCCCAACAGAGTCTCACATCAAATAACATGATAATAAATATAGAACATGTCAACATCCAAGCATAACAGTATAAACAACAAGCATATCACATCAGCTCCGGCCTCCTGCCGCCCGAGGTCTCAACCCCCGGGTTACCTGAACCTGAAATTGTGCCCCAAACGTGGGGTGAGATCTCTAAACAGAAATCTCAGTAAGGCATGGGGTCCTCAAGGATTTCTCCACCCCAAATTCACTTACAAGTGCAATATAAGTTCTAAAAGCAGTAAAATAATATATGTTCCAAAATCAGTGCAATGCAGCAGAATAATCATGCCATGTGTGTCAACTATTCTACTAGCCAGAGAAATGCCAGATTTACATATGTCTATTACCTACAATCAGTGCAGGACCCCACTTCCACCACCCACAGAATCACCCTATGGTATGTCTCCTACATAAACAGGCTTACTGTCTAGGCGGAACAACACATGCATATCATAAGGCACTTGCACATAACAGCTCAATAACATTTCAAAAGCAATACATGAAAACACATCATGCATATAAACCATTCCCCCATAGGGTATGGTGAGACCAATAATAGCTAAACCGAGGACACGAAAGCTTACCTCTTAAGCAATCAATCCAAGCCAAGTCCACACTAGCTCAAAGCCCACAAACAACACAATCACAATCTTTTTATACAATAAATACTCATTAATATTCATTGTCTAAGGTTCCATTGAGTGATTAGGGCTTTCTAACTTGTTTTAGGTCATTTCATGCAAATTCTGCAAGAGGTATTCGAATACTCCTCGTTGAGTATTCAAATACTTCATGTCTCCAAAAAGTATCTGAATACTTTCACTTAAGTATCCGAATACCACAAGGTATCTGAATACTTTTCACTCAGTATTTGAATACCACGTAGTATTCGCATACAATTACCACAGTATCCGAATACTTCTTCTAAGGTATCCGAATACTTTTCTTCCCATAAAAGTATCCCAATACCCCTTCAAGGAGTATTCGACTACCCCTTGTAAGTATTCGAATACTACTCGAAAAGTATTCAAATACTTATCAAACAGAATGCAGAAACTCGAGCTGTCATCTGCATAATTCCATTTTTAAGGGTCCAAACGCGATTTGGAGTCCAATGACTCCGTAAACAGATGTTCATTAACATATTTTAGGCCTAGATTATCAGTCCTTAACTCAAATGATCAAGGTTTCCCTTTTTAATGGATTAAGCAAGCTTAAACCATGAAAATACAAAGGTGGTGATCATGGTATACCTCAAGCTCAAAAAACTCAGAAAATGAGACACTCTTGGAGCTTCCAACACAGTCCCACAGCACTGACTTTGCAAAGATACGAATTTGATCACCAAGCTAGGCCCTTTATGCCAAAAGGTGGCTTCTTGAAGCCTAAAATGCCATAACAATGGCTTCACTCAACCAAATTCAGAAACACAGCCCCCTAAGCCTCATAAACTCTTAAATGAAGTCTCCTACTCACTCCCAAGGCAAGCCCTCACTCACACAAAGTGTTTTGGTGAAGAGAACAAGAAGAAAAGTGGCACCTTTGGCTCGCAAGAGGAAGGGAAGGTGGAGGTGGCAATGAGGAGGGACTGACCAGCAGCCAAGGGGTCCAGAAACTTCATGTAGGAATTGTTGTATTTTGACCTAGGGCATTGTGCCACAAGGTATAAATAGAGACATGTATGTTTCTAATTTTGCAGACAAAATTCTTAAAAAGGTGGGGTGAATGTAAGAACAAGCACCGTTAATTTAGGAAATTAATTAGTTAATTATGTGATTACTGAGATAAGTCCATAATTGACCCTAATAATTATGAGGAGACTTAAATAATTATGGTAAGTGATTAATAATGTGGAAAGTCACTTTTCTGACGAAAAGTGCATATATCGGTTCTGCTCCACGGTATAAGTGCGTACCAATGAAGTATCTCAGAAAATTATGAAAAATATGTATATGTCACTAGAATAATATATAGGACTAACGTAACAAGTTTCAAGTCAAAATAATGAGATTTGGTGTCAGAACTGATATCGGCTACGTAAAAGCGCGTACCGACAAAGTACTGTGAAAAATAAAATAAAAATATGAAAAATCCTAGAAAAATGGCTAGGTTCAGAATCTCAAGTTTGAGATTAAAATGATAAGCGTAGCTATTAATGCTAATACAGTGTGATTAAACTTAATGCGAGTATAAATAGGCTTGGCACTAAACCCTAGGCTGATTTGGTGCCATTACTACGTGAGTTTTCTGATTTTCTTCAGCATCCTTGAGCTTCCTCTTGCCACATTCACCTTCCCTTCCTCTTGTGAGCCAAAGGTGCCACTTTTCTTCTTGTTCTCTTCACCAAAATACCTTATGTGAGTGAGGGCTTGCCTTGGAAGTGAGTGAGAGACTCCATTTCTGAGT